CACTGGAACAAAATGTGGACTAACCTTCATGTGTTCCATCTGTACGGGAATAGAGTGTTGCCCCCTCACACGCGTGGGTGTTCTTCGGGTGCTCCGGTTTCTTCCCACGTATAAACACTCATTAATTGGCCGTAACACCTTGATACGTAGAAGACCGTAAAGCTTAGGAAATTGTTGGTAGCGCCGGCTCCTGACCACGCAGCTGCTGCTGGCTCCCCGCTCCTCGTCTGCGGCTCGTCCTCGCGCATCGGAGCCATCCTCCCTCCCTCTACATGAGTGATGAGCGACCGCTGTGTGGCGGTGGTGCAGAGGTACACCTACTTATTATTATTATTGTTGTTGTTGTTGTTGTCGTTATTCGAGTTTTGAAAACTCAGGTGGAACCGATTTCTGCTCTGGCCCAGGGCGGGGAAGACAGCGCTTCCGCACGCACCTCAAGTTCAGTTTCCAGAGACGAGGACTCGACATGTTCGAACAAGCGCCGGTGGGCAGCACGTCCACATTTCAGGCATAATTATGCAAACATTTACTTCGCTTTATAAATACGGCGTGCGCGCTGTAAATATTTGGCGGGGAGAGGCCAAAAACAACTGCTTTCCATGACCTTACACACTGCAGGATTGCAAACACACACTCGCCGTACACCGGTACACAGACACACACACACTCTTACCGTACACCGGTACACACACACACACTCTTACCGTACACCGGTACACACACACACACACTCGCCGTACACCGGTACACAGACACACACACACACTCGCCGTACACCGGTACACACACACACACTCGCCGTACACCAGTACACAGGTACACAGACACACACACACTCGCCGTACACAGGTACACAGACACACACACACTCGCCGTACACAGGTACACAGACACACACACACTCGCCGTACACAGGTACACAGACACACACACACTCGCCGTACACCGGTACACAGACACACACACACACACGCCGTACACCGGTACACACACACACACTCTCGCCGTACACCGGTACACACACACTCGCCGTACACCGGTACACACACACACACACACTCGCCGTACACCGGTACACACACACACACTCGCCGTACACCGGTACACACACACACACTCTCGCCGTACACCGGTACACACACACACACTCTCGCCGTACACCGGTACACACACACACACTCTCGCCGTACACCGGTACACACACACTCGCCGTACACCGGTACACACACACTCGCCGTACACCGGTACACACACACACACACACTCGCCGTACACCGGTACACACACACACACACACTCGCCGTACACCGGTACACACACACACACTCTCGCCGTACACCGGTACACAGACACACACACACACACACTCGCCGTACACCGGTACACACACACACACTCGCCGTACACCGGTACACACACACACACTCTCGCCGTACACCGGTACACACACACACACTCTCGCCGTACACCGGTACACACACACTCGCCGTACACCGGTACACACACACACACTCGCCGTACACCGGTACACACACACACACACACTCGCCGTACACCGGTACACACACACACACTCTCGCCGTACACCGGTACACAGACACACACACACACACACTCGCCGTACACCGGTACACAGACACACACACACACACACTCGCCGTACACCGGTACACACACACTCGCCGTACACCGGTACACACACACACACACTCGCCGTACACCGGTACACACACACACACACTCGCCGTACACCGGTACACACACACTCGCCGTACACCGGTACACACACACTCGCCGTACACCGGTACACACACACTCGCCGTACACCGGTACACACACACACACACTCGCCGTACACAGGTACACAGACACACACACACTCGCTGTACACTGGTACACAGACACACAAACACCTGTACACACACACACACACTCTCGCCGTACACCGGTACACACAACACTCGCCGTACACCGGTACACACACACACACACACTCGCCGTACACCGGTACACACACACACACTCTCGCCGTACACCGGTACACAGACACACACACACACACACTCGCCGTACACCGGTACACACACACACACTCTCGCCGTACACCGGTACACACACACACACTCTCGCCGTACACCGGTACACACACACACACTCTCGCCGTACACCGGCACACACACACACACTCTCGCCGTACACCGGTACACACACACACACACTCGCCGTACACCGGTACACACACACACACACTCGCCGTACACCGGTACACACACACACACACTCGCCGTACACCGGTGCACACACACACACACTCGCCGTACACAGGTACACAGACACACACACACTCGCTGTACACCGGTACACAGACACATACACACTCTTGCCGTACTCTGCTACACACACACACACGCCGTACACCGCTACACACACACACACTCACCTGTACACACACACACTGACTCACCGTACACCGGTACACACACACACACACGTCGTACACCGGTACACACACACACACGTCGTACACCGGTACACAAACACACACACTCACCGTACACCGGTACACACACACACACTCACCGTACACCGGTACACACACACACACTCACCGTACACCGGTACACACACACACACACGTCGTACACTGATACACACACACACTCATGGTACACCGGTACACACGCACTCGCCGTACACCGGTACACACACACGCACCATACACCGGTACACACACACGCACCATACACCGGTACACACACACGCACCATACACCGGTACACACACACGCACCATACACCGGTACACACGCACGCACCATACACCGGTACACACACACGCACCATACACCGGTACACGCGCACGCATACCGACTGTGGGGGGCAAGTGATGTGAGCAAACAGCTGTTGAGGTCGCCACAACACACGAGGAGGTGGTTTGATCAGACGGCCCCTAGCCGCCTTTGTCTCCCGAGGCCGGAACGGTGCACGCACTCTGTACACACGTAAACGCACAGACGCACGCACACGTGCACGCACACAGTGCACACCGTTATGCTGCGCTCGTCAATTTACTTGCGAGTATCAACTCGGGATCGAATCATCTCCGAGCTGTGAACCCCGCGCCCTCCACCCTCAACACCTCGCCCTGGGGGCTGGCTCAGAGGCGAGGGGACCTTGGGGGCACCGTGGCAGCAATTGCTCTCACTGGGCCCGAGCGTTCCCCTGGACCAGGCTAGGTGCACAGAGGGCACGCACAGTGCCGCACGCCGGCGGGTGGCTTCACGCGATCGGGCGGCACGTGCCGAGCGCACCCGCGCAGAAGGTGAAGCGTAGCACAGCGTGGGACAGGGAGCTTACCGAGCTTTACCGCTTTTCTGTCGTGCTGTTTGTTACTGGCCGCTTGACGTTTTGGGCCTGTGCTCACTATATATGTGATAGATAAATATAAAAGAAATAACTATATATGCCAGCCATACAGCTCTTGCGGATGGCAAAAGTGGCGGTGATTAAATAGTCGATGACATTGAAAATAATTATAATGAGGATGTTGGTGATTGTGTTATGGATGATCTGTGTGATATGGGTCTTACGAACTAGGCCCTGTATCGTAAAAAGAGGGTCCTTGTGGTAACATCTGGCAGTTCAAGCGAGCGGACCCTGCTGATGAGACACTGAATGTCGAAACTGGTCCAGAGTTTTTGCTTGTGCTGCTGAAATTATGCAGTTCCAGGAGGCGGCGTGGCTGATAGCATGTGTAAGAAATTTGTTTTTTTCTACATGGAACAACGGAGATGTGAAGGAGACATTGTCTGCCTATTGACTTTGTTAAAAACAATGATGGTGATGAAGATGCTGGTCGTGCTGATGGTAGTGACATGAATAAGAGGCATGCACCTCCAAAGCCTACTTATTGCTATGGTGACGGTGGTGGTGAGGATGATGGCACTGACGATGACGTTATGACGATAACGATGATGATATCGGCAGTGACAATGATAAGTATGATGACGGTGATGATTTTATTGATCGTAATTACATTGGTGGTGATTGGGCTGGTGATGATGCAGATCATTTCATCAACGATGACCATGGCAATGATCATGATGCGAGCGACGATGGTGGTGGTGGTGGTGGGGACAGCGATGACGGTGATGATGATGATGCCAGTGACGGTGATGACAGCGATGACGAGGGCCGGCACGTCACCGCTTCATCCCTGCGCATCTGGCCTGTGTCAGGCTGCGTCACCGCTTCGTGTAAACGGTGTCTATGGCCGTGCCAGGAATGTTTCCATGCCTCAATCCGGGAGTGGGGGCTCTGGGGGAGGGGTCTCCTTGGGGGGAGGAAGGGTCCCCTTTGAGGGGAGGGGTCCCCTGGGGGGTGGCGATCCCCGAATTGGGACCCGCGTCAGCCCAGTCTGCGGCTGATACGGGTTTATCATCTCGTACACAAGCACGTCCCACACATGTCTCGTGCACCGCATCTCTGTCTAAACTTCGTTACAAATCCCCCTCACCCCCACCACCGCCTCCCCCCCACTGGCGCAGGGCAGCTCTGCCGTTACAGGGGTTCGCGTGCCACGGTAATTACCGCTCGTAACCTACGCAGTGACCCGTCGCCCATCAACATCGCCCATCAACGTCGCCCAGCAACGTCACCCATCAACGTCGCCCTTCCAACGTCGCACTTCAACGTCGCACTTCAACATCGACCTTCAACGTTTGCCCAGCAACGTCGCCCATCAACAGCTCTATGAACATCAGCAAACACCCTCCATCACTGTCATCAATCAACATTATGATCACACTCTCCATAACTCCCTCTGTCTCCCTCTCTGTGCCTTTCTGTCTCTCTTCATCTGGTGCTGCTCCCCCATGCCGAATCCATGAAATATGATGGATTTATGTTAAAAATTTCTCTTGGACTAAATCTACACCTATCCCTACAACTGCTCCTTCACCTCCACCTGCCCATGCCCCCCGCCCTCCCCCACCCCCGTACCGGTCCGGCGCTGCTCCAGGCTGAGGCCGTGCAGCTCCTCCGCCACGGCGCCTCCTCCTCCTCCTCCGTCGGACCCGGCGCCTCCTCCTCCTCCTCCTCCGTCGCGGCTCCCCGGGGGGGTGCTCCCCGTGCGCACCCCCATGGCCCCTCCGTGGCAGCGCGGGGGTCTGCCCGGTGAGTGCAGCCGCCTGCCCAGAGAGACGGCGCCGGTGACGATGATGATGGTTTGTTATTACGCCTGCTCACCCGGGAAAGCCTCGCCGAGTCTCAAGACTTTTTGTCTGGAGGGTCCTGCCAAGTTTTTGTTCAGCATTGGAAGGTACATGTTCAGCATTGGGAGGTTTTGGCTAATATCGGTTACATTATAGTGTATACAAACATTTGCATAAACGTAAGTGTCAAACATGTGAATTGTCAATGGGCAATTTGAGTGATGGAGTGGCCGCCAAAGGAGGGACCACACTTGGGGAGCGACGAGGAGTGAGTTTGTACATGGCATCGTGCGGTGCTGAGAGGCGGAGATCATGGCGAAGCAAAGATGACAACAATCGATGGCGGCGATGGTAGAGATGGCGGCGATGGTGGTGATGATAGTGGTGATGGTAAAACAGCATCACCACCAAAACGGCAAAACAGCCAAACACAAGTTCCAGAAAACATCTCAAAAGTCACCGCTTGGCCCGAGTTTCACCACATCTCCATCCCTGATCGCGAGAACCCACCACCTCCCACCCCCAACCCCCCCAGACTTCAAAACCCCCCAAACCCGCGTGATTAAAAGCGCCAATAAGCCCCGGACTCGCGGCGCGCGCATAAATCAAGCGCCCTGCGCGGCGGCACTCCTCGCTGCTGCTCCGAGCGAGCGAGTCATGACGGTCCGGGGATTTGGGGATAATCTGATGTGGAGCCAAGCGGGGGGTTGCCCCCCCACCCCTGGCCCCAGCCAGGGTTTGGCATCAGGACCCCCCTTCCCCCGCCATTGAGTGCTCGCTGTGGCACGGCGGCACAATTACTCTTTATTTGAGCAAAAAAAAATCTAAATGCCAAACACGTGTTTGTAGAACAAGATAACGCAGATCACAGGGCGTCTCGCCGGGGCAAAGCCAAGCTCTGTATTTACCAGCAAAGGTGGCCCCCAGGTGGTGGCGATCAAGTTGAGTGGGGGGAGAGGGGGTGGTCGTGGGCCATCCCCAATGCCCCCCTCCCCAGTCACTGGCCCATTACCCCACGCGACAAGCCGGGCCAGCCCAGTCATTAAGTGAGCCTCCTATTCGACTTCACTATTTCAAATAATAAACGTATTTTGTCGTGCGTGTATAATTGATTGCGACTTCACGGTTGCATCGTGTGGCCTTTAACAAGCCGGAGCAAAGAGCCGTTAGCGAGCGGCGATTACGTCCGGTGCAATGCACGAGGGGGCGGTGTGGCCAGGGCCACGCTCAGCCACCTTTGTCTCTCCCAGTGGTTACGTTTACACACCGCACCAGGTACTCGTTCCAAGTGGAGGCTGGGAAGGCCCAGAACCGGTTCGGATATCAACTCGCCGCCGATGTTAGCCGTGGCCAGGAATTTAACTTGGGTCGTCCGATTTATAGCGCGGTGCGATAAAAACTTTGCCACGGGTTCCTGCGGACAGTCCTCCGCTCGGGGCAGGATAACATCAAGCAACAGAAAGTGTTTTTCTCTGTAATATATAATTATAATAAAACGTTGTACCCGTGGCGGCACACCATGGAGAAGGGGATGTAAGGAAGGGAACGAGAGCCAAGAACGGGAGAGAGAAGGGACGCTGGGACAGAAGTCTCCGAGACGGACACAGAGAGGGCACGGCTCAAGATGAGCAGCAGGGAGGAGGAAGTCGGAACGCCGGGCAGGAAGGGGAGGAGGCGAAGGCATGACCGGGACGAGACGTCGGGGACGAGAGGAGGAAGGAGCAAGCAAAAGTCAGCTACATGGAGGAGCAGCGTCTGTTTTCACCGAGGGCGGTGGTGAGAGGGGAGGGAATCAGAGTGGGGGTGACGCTGACTTAAATGCATCAACAACTCAAAGCCCCTAAGCTCACATCTTATCAGAGCCATTAGAAGGGGACCCCACCCCCTCCAATGGCAGTTGTCCCTGTGCAGCACAAGGTGACTCAGCACATGGAACCTATAGCATGCACGTGGTACCTGCAGCATTCACGTAGTACTTATATCATGCACATGGGGTCCTATAGCACCCTTTCCTGAATTCTGAATTACATAACAAAGGAATAAATAATAATAATATCATAATAACATAAAACAGACAATGTCATTGAAGCTGGCGCAGAGCATGGGCTAAGCGCCGAGAGTTACTACTCAGGGAAAGGGAGGGAGAGGTGGGAGCCGGAGAGGTGGGAGCCGGGGAGGAGGGGGAACCGGGGGGGAGGGGGAACGAGGGGGGGGTTAAGGGCCGCTTTGGCCCAGGAGAGCTACAGGCGCAGCCTTGCAATTGCTTGCTCGCGCCACTGCTGGTGGAGGGGGGGGGCTCCCTTCCTCCAATTGAGCGAACTCTTACAGAGTGTTTGGTCTCCTCATCCACGTTCACCAGGCGCGTTGGAAGAGGTGACATGGGCCCCTGGGTGGGGTTCAAATTAACGGGGGGGGGGGGGGTGATTGGCTGCGTCCCAGTCCTGTCGCTACCTCGCCCGTGTTCGTGCCGTCTCCCGACTCCTAAACTCCCTCTCCCGACTCCTAAACTCCCTCTCGCAAGGTCGTGCAGGGTTTGTTGCGATGATCTGATTGTGGTAATTAAACAGAGACAATCTGCACACGGCAAACAGACACGACGGGCTATGAGGTTACACAACTGCGTCTGTGCCGATGTTTGCGCACCGAACCAGCTGTTAATCAAAGGGCGAGTCGGCCTGCGGGACATCATCTCCGGTGTTAGCCGCGGACGTGATTCGAACCAAGGTAGTCGGGTTCATGGCGCAGGGCGCTCACCACTGCACCACCGCTCCACCCGAGTTGACACACACAAATGCAGCTACACTCACACTCGCGTGTTCCAACACAGCCACCACACTCACTCACTCACGCGCGCTCTCTAAACTCGTCGGATCGCATTCCGGGCCGGGAAGGAGGATCGGCAGCCGGAGAGCAGGACACAGATCCCCCCCCCCACTCGCCCCCCACCCAAAAGAACCCCCCCCTCGCCCTCAAAAAGCATCTCCCCTGCTTCGTGTCCCACCGGCTCCGAGACACCCCCCCCCCCCTCTTGCTTCCAGAGACCAACAAGGATCACGTGACCAGGCGGAGCGTGCCTCTGCTTAGCGATCCGCCTGCCCGTGTCTCCTGTCTCCGCCTGCCCGTGTCTCCTGTCTCCGCCTGCCCGTGTCTCCTGTCTCCGCCTGCCCGTGTCTCCTGTCTCCGCCTGCCCGTGTCTCTGGTCTGTCTACTTTAACTACCACGGCTCTCTCTGCCCGCCTCTGATTCCCTGCAATGCTGTCCGAGTACTCGCGGTCTGCGTTCCAGAAGGCCGCCTTTCCCACGCCCACTCACCTCCTGAGCAGCGGGGCAGTAGGGGGGGGGGGGGCAGAGGTGTGCGGGGGGGGGGGGGTGAGCGCCTCACCTGTACGTGGGGGGGGGGGGTGAGCGCCTCACCTGTACGGGGGGGGCGCGGTATTGGGGGGGGGGGAGGTGTTGCGCTCAGCTGTCCCGCGCCGCCACCACCGTCGCCCCGTGTCGCGCGCGCCGCCGAGTCTCCACTTCTGCGCTCCCCGCGTCTCCCTCTGTGGGTTCTCGGCGTGCGGCGTGGGCGCGGCCTCACCAAGTAGGGGCACGGGGTGGGGCTGGGACAGAGTTGAGGCGAGGGTTAGGGATGGAGTTGGGGTGAGGGATGGGGTTGGGGTTAGGGATGGAGTTGGGGTTAGGGATGGAGTTGGGGTGAGGGATGGGGTTGGGGTTAGGGATGGAGTTGGGGTTAGGGATGGAGTTGGGGTGAGGGATGGGGTTGGGGTGAGGGATGGGGTTGGGGTTAGGGATGGAGTTGGGGTGAGGGATGGGGTTGGGGTGAGGGATGGAGTTGGGGTGAGGGATGGGGTTGGGTGAGGGATGGGGTGAGGGATGGGGTTGGGGTGAGGGATGGAGTTGGGGTGAGGGATGGAGTTGGGGTGAGGGATGGAGTTGGGGTGAGGGATGGAGTTGGGGTGAGGGATGGAGTTGGGGTGAGGGATGGAGTTGGGGTGAGGGATGGAGTTGGGGTGAGGGATGGAGTTGGGGTGAGGGATGGAGTTGGGGTGAGGGATGGGGTTGGGGTGAGGGTTGGGGTTGAGGATACAGTTTTGTGCACACATTGGTCACCGCTATCGCGTGAAGGTCATGAGTTGGGGTCCGGAAATCAGCGGGGGCCAGGGGTCAGGTCGCCCCTTCAGGGACCCCTCCCTGTGTGTGGAGGAGCCCCACTCCCACGCCCCGCAAACCCCCCGCGCTGCCTTCCACGCAGGCGAGGCAGCGAGTCCCGTGCACGGTCCAACCGCATTTGTCTCCCCCAAGTGCCGATCTTGACCACGCAACATCAAGCCCTCGTTTTTGGCTCAGCCGACTTAAGAGTAGGCCAAGCGTTGTAGATTCCGGTGACTGCGGTGTAAATGAGAGGATACGAGTCTGGTGGGAGGAGGCCCCGTAATGAGTGTCGTGAATGAGGATCGATGTGCGGCCCCAGCCCCCCATCTCTCCCCGTCCTGTGCCCCCCCCCAACCTTCCCCGCGTCTTGGCGTGCAAAGCCCGAGACCGGCTCCATAAACAAACAACAGCGCGACGCGTAAACACAGCGCGGGCTGATCCCCCCCTCTTCCCTGATCCCTCCTCCACCTCCTTCCTCACCTCCTCCTCCTCCCCGCGCAACGGAGCCCGCGTCACTGACCATACTGGGGCACTCCCAGCAGGGAGCCCCATCCCCTTACCACGGCGACTGTCCCGACAACTCCACCACTTCCACACCACACACACACACCCTCAGCACTCCACACACACACCCACCCCCTCACCACACACACACACACCCACCCTCACCACCCCACACACACTCAACACACACACCCTCAGCACTCCACACACCACACACACACACCCTCAGCACTCCACACACACACACCACATACACACACACCCACCCTCACCACTCCACACACACTCCACACACACTCTCACCACTCCACACACACCACACACCCTCACCACTCCACACACACCACACACACACACACACCCTCACCACTCCACACACACACACCCTCAGCAACACACACACCCTCAGCACTCCACACACCACACCACACACACACACCCTCAGCACTCCACACACACACACCACATACACACACCCCACCCTCACCACTCCACACACACTCCACACACACTCTCACCACTCCACACACACCACACCACCCTCACCACTCCACACACACCCACACCCACACACACACCCTCACCACTCCACACACACACACCCTCACCACTCCACACACACACCACACACCCTCAGAACTCCACCACACACACACACCCACACACACACACCCTCACCACTCCACACACACTCCACACACACACCCTCACCACTCCACACACACCACTCCACACACACCACACCCTCACCACTCCACACACACACACCACACACACCCTCACCACTCCACACACACCACTCCACACACACACACCCTCACCACTCCACACACACACACCACACACCACCCTCACCACTCCACACACACCACTCCACACAACACACACCCTCACCACTCCCACACACCCTCACCACTCCACACCACACACACACACCTCACCACACCCACACACACACACACACACCTCACCACTCCACACACACACACACACACACCCTCACCACTCCACACACACCCTCACCACTCCACACACACACACCCTCACCACTCCACACACACACACACCACCCTCACCACCACACACCCTCACCACTCCACACACACCACACACACACACACCCTCACCACTACACACACCCTCACCACTCCACACACACCCACACCACACACACACACCCTCACCACTCCACACACACACCTTCACCACTCCACACACACCACACCACACACACCCTCACCACTCCACACACCACACACACACCCCACCACAACCACCACCACACACACACCCTCACCAACCTCACACACACACACCCTCGCCACTCCACACAGACACACCCTCACCACTCCACACCACACACACCCTCACAAAACACACACAACCCTCACCAAACACACACACCCTCACCACACCACACACACCCTCACCACACCACACACACCCTCGCCACTCCACACACACCCTCACCACACACCCCTCACCACTCCACACACACTCCTCACAACGAAACCGACACTCCTCACACGGCTCAAAATCCCTGCACTGCGGGCAGTGAGTGTCCTGTGTGGGAGGGTGTGTGAGTGCACCTAGCCTGGCACAACGTCGTGGTAACATCACTGCCCACCCTGTCCTCCACCCTTACCCGCAGCCCCACCTACCCCTAACGGGGGCTTTCCATCGAGAGCCGGGCTTGTCTCAGTAAGGGTAAGGGGGTGGTGCTATGGGGGGGGGGGGGGAGTTGTTTTTGTTTTATGTTCTCTGCATTGAGATCTCTCTCTCGCTCTCTCCCTCCTCGGTTTGTCGCGACGCCAGCAGCCCAGGGAGAGGGGAGGGGGCGAGGCAGCCGCCTTCAACTTCACGATCCCCCCCAGCGATCCACCACATTCTAATCCCATCACTGTGCACTCCGCCATCAAGCCCGCTCCACAGTTCCATTACTGAACACGGCTACCATCAGTGGCACCGATCCTGGGCGCCACCCTCCCTCAGCAGCCCGCACGAAGCAACGTGGTGAAGTATGAAGTATGGTCAAACAAGCGGCATGACTTGACACGGCAAAGGGAGGGATTCATCCAGCACTGATTAGCAAAGGGCTGTAACTCTTCGCCCTCCGGAATATTTACATGCGGTCCACGGCTCTCCTGTGACCCCCCCCCCCCCCCATCTGCCTGCACCGCCCGGCCCACACCCCGACTCGGAGCCTCTCCCCAAATTCATGAAGGTTCGACTCCCGGCGCGGTCCAACGGCGTATCGCAGGAACCCTCCTGCATGAGACTCCTGGGGACTCAGTGAGGCGTTCCTCGAGGGGAATAATTGGCGCCCTTTGCAATTGGCAGATGAGAGGCGAGAACGCCGCGCGTTAAAGAGGAGACCCTCCAGGGCAAACGCGACAAGCCGGCACTCTGGGGGGAGGAGGGTGGTGAGGTGAGCCTCTGGCTGGGGTACTACAGGCGCCAGCCAGCACGCGGCAAACGGAGACACCGCCAGCGCCGGGCCACGTCCCCCTCCCCCCCACGAAAGTTTCTCTTCGCCAATTTCGTCACAAAAGTGCACAGAGACATGGGCGAGACCTGGGGGAGACCTGAGGGAGACATGGGAGAGACCTGGGCGAGACCTGGGGGAGACCTGGGAGAGACCTGGGGGAGACCTGGGGGAGACCTGAGGGAGACCTGAGGGAGACCTGGGGGAGACCTGGGGGAGACCTGAGGGAGACCTGAGGGAGACCTGGGGGAGACCTGGGAGAGACCTGGGCGAGACCTGGGGGAGACCTGGGGGAGACCTGAGGGAGACCTGAGCGAGACCTGAGGGAGACCTGAGGGAGACATGGGAGAGACCTGGGGGAGACCTGGGAGAGACCTGGGGGAGACCTGAGGGAGACCTGAGGGAGACCTGGGGGAGACCTGGGAGAGACCTGGGGGAGACCTGGGGGAGACCTGGGGCAGAGGCGTCGCGTTGGCGAGCCTCCTGCAGCGAGCGCTTTTCGAGCGGCGGTTCAAACCTCGCTGGAATCCTCCGAACACCGCCAACCGTCATTAGTAATACATCTTTAAGCATGGCAACATCTTTAAGCATGACAACATCTTTAAATGGTAGCTTTTGCAAAGAGATCCGCGACACCTCTTCCCACGGCCCTGCGGGGAGGGGGGGGCTCTAACAGGTTGGAGCAACTTGTTTGAGGCACTCAGACACACACAGACACACAGACACACACAGACACACACAGACAGACACCACACAAATACACACACACAAATACACACACAGACACACACACAGATACACAGACACACACACAGACAGACACACACACAGACAAGACAGACACACACACAAACACACAGACACACAGACAGACACACAGACAGACAGACACACACACACAAACAGACATACACACAGACACACAGACAAGACACACACACAGACACACAGACAGACACACAGACAAGACACACAGACAAGACAATACACAGATACACACAGACACACACAGACAAGACACACACACAGACACACAGACAAGACAGATACACACACAGACAAGACAGACACACAGACACACACACAGACACGACAGATACACACACAGACAAGACACACACAAACACACAGACAAGACACACAGATACACAGACACACAGATACACACACAGACAAGACACACACACAAACACACAGACATACAGACAAGACACACACACAGACACACAGATACACAGACAAGACAGATACACACACAGACAAGACACACACACAGACAAGACACACACACAAACACACAGACACACAAACAAGACACACACACAGACACACGGATACACAGACAAGACCGATACACACACAGACACACACACACACAGACAGACACAGACAAGACAGACACACAGATACACAGACAAGACAGATACACACACAGACAAGACAGACACACAAACACACAGACACACAGACAAGACACACACACACAGACACACAGATACACAGACAAGACAGACACACACACAGACACAGACACAGACAAGACACACACACAAACACACATACAGACACACACACACACAGACACACACACACAAACAGACACACACACAGACACACAGACAAGACACACACACACAGACACAGACAAGACACACACACAAACACACAGACACACAGACAAGACAGACACCACACACAGACACACACACACAGACAAGACACACACAAACACACAGACAAGACACACACACAGACACACAGATACACACACACACAGACAAGACAGATACACAAACACACAGACACACAGACAAGACACACACAGACACACAGATACACAGACAAGACAGATACACACACAGACAAGACACACACACACACAGACACACAGACAAGACACACACACAGACACACAGATACACAGACAAGACACACACACAGACAAGACACACACACAAACACACAGATACACAGACAAGACACACACACAGACACAGATACACAGACAAGACAGATACACACACAGACACACACACACAGACACAGACAAGACACACACACAAACACACAGACAAGACACACACACACAGACACAGACAAGACACACACACAAACACACAGACACACAGACAAGACAGACACACACAGACACACACAGACACACACAGACACACAGACACACACACACAGACACACACACAGACACACAGACAAGACACACACACAGACAAGACAGACACACACACAGACACACACACACAGACACACAGACAAGACACACACACAGACAAGACAGATGGACACACACCGGTTGCTACGCTGAACGTGGCCTGTAACCCAGCACTGAGGACAGCGAGGGTTGGTGGGTCATACACAATTAGTTAAATTCCGGATAGTGACAGTACAGTAAGCAGTTTAATTAACATCTATTATTTCATCTGTACGGGGATTGAGTGTTACCCCCTCGCACACGCGGAGTTTCTCCGGCTGCTCCAGTTTCCTCCCACGCGTATAAACGCCCGTTCGTGGAGTGGACCAAACATCCAAACTTAGGAACACGGAGCTTGGACAATTTTTTGGCGCTGTTTCTTCCATACAAAAACTGTGCACATTACAAATCCTACAGCGTTTTAAGGAGCAACTTCATGAATGACGCGATATACCAAATTATATATCAACATTATGTTAAACTGGCGGACACACGGGCGGACACGCCAGAATTGTAACACAGTATATTCCGGACACGGCAATAATAAAGTAGCCACCTTGAAAATCTGAGTATGGGGTAACGTGGGCCCTGTGACACTATTTCAAGAGCAAGTCATTATGTGCCGGGTCCCAAGCCACATTCCACATTTGCGAAAGCAGTAGCAGCAGATAAACTAGCCTGGCCAACTACGGGCAGAGGGGTCTCCTCTCCTCCGTGCCGGCGCAGCAGCTCAGAAGAGCTCACCTGGTGGCACACAGGAATCGGGGACGATTGGAGGCACCTGACCACACACGCGCCACGTGCGCGCTCCGCAAGCCACACTCGCTCACCACGCTCACCACGCTCACCACGCTCACCACGCTCACCACGCTCACCACGCACTCGCAATGCGTACCACTCAATCGCTACACCACCCCTCGTGTGCAGTTACAACCTCCACATGGACTCTCTTGACAGCGCAGCACTTGCCACCAACAACCTGTGTATAGGCTACACCAGGGATGTTCATCTTGCGCGAGCCTGTGTACGCAACACGCACAGTCGTAACAGAACTGAGAGACTCAACAACCTCGTCACAACCACCCAATTCGTCACTCATCACAAACACCTCATCATTCATCACCCATCACAACAACAACAACCACCATTCGCCACTAAGTGGCGGTGACGTCACCACGACGCTTGTGCCAGGCCATGTGCACCTTGAGGCCACGTGAAGTGTCGTGGACAGCACTCTGACACACCCCACTATACACGGCTCTACACCCATAGACGTCCTCAGACAAAACTCACCAATACACACATCCCACTCACTCCACAAGACACCTATAGTCTTAACAACCTGTTGGGCCTCTGACTCCACACACACACACCCTGTCACTCACACACACATTCACTCTCTTACCCCACACCCCACTCACCCATACAACCTTTCACCACCATCACACACCCTCCCAGCTCCACACCCCACTCACCCATACACCCTTTCACCACCATCACACAACCACCACACCCTTGGCACACCACGTCCGTCCCCTTGCCAGAAACACCTCCCCACAGGGAGGGGGTTCTGGTGCAGGGTGGGGGTGCGACTCGATCTGCCCCCCCACTGTCCTCCCACCACGCGCCCCGCTCCCCGCTCTGCCCTGCCCTATCCTGCCGGTGTTCATGTCACATGGGCATTCACATGGGCATTCACATACGCACAAACGATTACAACAGCCGCTATCCGCCACTAAATGCTGGGGATGTCAGCACAGTGCTTGTGCAAGGCTACGTGCAGAATGGAAGGCTGGCTGCTGGCAAGTCACCTGACATACCCAGGTCCTATGGGTTAATTTACTGGGATGAATGGCAGATGTACCACCTGTGGTCCCCAATGTGCCACCTTCCTGCATTTTAGTCACCGAGTGCTCCGCTCGTTGTTGTGAGCGTCGCGGATCTCCCCTCCATTGCTGCTGGAGGACGACTGCCTCCAACTGCCCTGTAGCAACGTCCTTCACGAACCTCCTCCACGGAGGCCAATCTTGACACCGCTGGTACCGGTCATCGACAAGTCAGTCCACTTAGCTCCGAATCCAAATCCTACCACATCACATCAGCCGTGTTACCCCGTGCCACTTACACACTCGCACGCTCACTGATCGGCCCATCTCCTCTCGAGCTCACGCCGCGCCTCTTTAGCCCCATCAGAAGCTGCTTGGGCACGCGGCGGCTGAGCATGCCCGGTCAGCTCGCCGTCTGTGCCAGTGTCTGTGCGAGTCGATGAAGAGCCGATGAAGAGTCAACAAGCATCTTTTCGTTGACTCGAACAGACACGCAAAGTCTCTCGCACACACACACGTAGACACACACGCGCACACACTAACTCACTCGCACTGGCAGGAGGGGGAGCGGCAGTTTCCTGTCACTGCCTCGGGTTGGGACTCGAGTCCCTGCGCCAGGGACTAGGGGAGGGGGCGGGGAGGGGGGCCCCCAAGCCCACCAACCTCCCACGTGGAACATCCACAACACAACCACAACACGACCGTAATGTAGATTGAACACAGACACCACACACACCATCACCCAAACCATCACCCACACCACACCCCATCGCCCAGTCCATCACCCACACCACACACCATCACCCATACCACACACCATCACCACACACCATCACCCACACCACACACCATCACCACACACCACACACCATCACCCACACCACACACCATCATCACCCACACCACACACCATCATCACACACCACACACCATCACCACACACCACACACCATCACCCACACCACACACCATCACCAACACCACACACCATCATCACCCCACACCACACACCATCACACACACCACACACCATCACCACACACCACACACCATCACCCACACCACACACCATCACCAACACCACACACCATCATCACCCACACCACACACCATCATCACACACCACACACCATCACCACACACCATCACCCACACCACACACCATCACCACACACCACACACCATCACCCACACCACACACCATCATCACCCACACCACACACCATCATCACACACCACACACCATCACCACACACCACACACCATCACCCACACCACACACATCACCAACACCACACACCATCATCACCCACACCACACACCATCACCACACACCACACACCATCACCACACACCCACACACCATCACCCACACCACACACCATCACCACACACCCACACACCATCACCCACACCACACACCATCACCAACACCACACACCATCATCACCCACACCACACACCATCATCACCCAAACCACACACCATCATCACCCACACCACACACCATCATCACCCACACCACACACCATCGCCCACACCATCACTCACACCACACACCATCACCCACACCACACATCATTACCCACACCACACACCATCACCACACACCATCACCCACACCACACACCATCGCCCAACCCATCACCCACACCACACACCACCATCACCCACACCACGCACCATCACCACACACCATCACCCACACCACATCGCTAGAGGAGGAGACGGAGTACTTATTCACTAATAAAGCCATCGCTCACGAGGGGGCGCACGTTCCCACACGCGCACGCGGCTCGCAAGGCAGTCAGCCTGGTACAGTATTGGCAATGATCAAAGCTGAAAATTTGCCGAGTTTAAACATGCACAACCCACAATGCGCCTTCGTTAGTTACCGGGCTGAGACCATGAACTCTCTACACTTGAGAACCCGGTTCAATTGCTGTGGTTGGGCGGCTGACACCTGGGTTCGAACCCAGGTCTCGGTTGTTCCGGCTCAACGGTGTGAGCCCGAGTTCTCGGTGGTGAACATCCCAGTCACGTAGCTGAAAGAGATGTTCATTCGCCAGTCGCATTGACAGTTTCACGGCAGCATGAGCTGCCACGGAACGAATTAACTTCCATTGAAACCCTGGCAGCGAGAAGTGCAGCACCTTGTGTTAAAACACGGGCTCTGGTAGAGTGGCCACTCAGTTCCCTTAAATCGCCTATTGCACGCACAAGGCCCTCTCAGAGCCATGCCCTCGAGGTCATCACAGGACTCACCGATGGACACGGCCGCTTCACCTCGCTCCTGCAGGAACACAGAGCACGGTCAGCCTCGATCCTGCCGGTGAACATCAGCGAACTTTAACATCCACAGCAATTAGCCCCCATTACATCCCCCACTCACTGACCCCCCCACGACTTTCACTGCCCCCCACTTCCCTCACTGCCCCCCACTACTTTCACTGCCCCCCACTACTCTCACTGCCCCCCACTACTCACACTGCCTCCCACTTCCCTCACTGCCCCCCACTATTATTACTGCCCCCACTACCCTCACTGCCCCCCACTACTCACAGCAGTCGCTGAGTTTCCTGGGTCGCGGTTCGATTCCGCGAGCAGGAAGCGCTCTGCGTTGCGCGAGCCCGGCCGCAGCCGTTTAAGTGCAAGTCGTGGCGGGGGGGGGGCACTCGTCAGCCCTCGGGCTGCGACCCCCCCCCACCCGCCTCTACAATGCCCCCCACCCCGTCCTTGCCCCCCCACCCCGTCCTTGCCCCCCACCCCCGCCTACCTGGACTGCTGCTGCTGCGGCCGGTTAATGGGGAGTGCCCGCCAGAGGGCGGGGCTAATTTAGGGGAGGAGAGAGTTGGGTGTGAGGGGCGTGGCTACGCTGTGAGGGGGCGGGGCTATGCGGTGAGGGGCGTGGCTACGCGGTGAAGGGGCGGGGCTACGCGGTGAGGGGCGTGGCTACGCGGGTGAGGGGCGGGGCTACGCGGTGAGGGGGCGGGGCTACACGGTGAGGGGGCGGGGCTACGCGGTGAGTACAGGTGAGTACAGGTGGTGCAGGTGAGTACAGGTGAGTACAGGTGGTGCAGGTGAGTACAGGTGAGTACAGGTGAGTACAGGTGGTGCAGGTGAGTACAGGTGAGTACAGGTGGGTACAGGTGAGTACAGGTGAGTACAGGTGGGTACAGGTGGTACAGGTGAGTACAGGTGGTACAGGTGAGTACAGGTGAGTACAGGTGGGTACAGGTGGTACAGGTGAGTACAGGTGGTACAGGTGAGTACAGGTGAGTACAGGTGGTGCAGGTGAGTACAGGTGAGTACAGGTGGTGCAGGTGAGTACAGGTGAGTACAGGTGGGTACAGGTGAGTACAGGTGAGTACAGGTGGGTACAGGTGGTACAGGTGAGTACAGGTGGTACAGGTGAGTACAGGTAGGTACAGGTGGTACAGGTGAGTACAGGTGGGTACAGGTGGTACAGGTGAGTACAGGTGAGTACAGGTGGTACAGGTGAGTACAGGTGGTACAGGTGAGTACAGGTGGGTACAGGTGGTACAGGTGAGTACAGGTGGTACAGGTGAGTACAGGTGGTACAGGTGAGTACAGGTGGGTACAGGTGGTACAGGTGAGTACAGGTGGTACAGGTGAGTACAGGTCAGGTGCAGGGTGCACGCTTCAGACGACCCGGGCGCTGCCTTGTTCACTCGCGCGGCATTTGCGACTCGTGGATAAACGGTTCATGCGCCAGTGTAAGACTGTTATTCAAATGTAATTGCAATCAAGGCCCCATGGCGTATACGGCGGTGGAGTTAAACAATGCAATCTCTCTCTACGATTCACTCAATTGCACTCGCTATTTGGTGATGCTGCTGCGGCGTTGGCAGTGGTGTCCACACAACGGCACATTCTGCAATCAGAATGTGCCCTTCTATGTTTGTGCTATAAAAGATGACCATTTCCCGAAACGTTTACGATTATGTAGTTTGTTGAGGCCATGGTGTTGTCAAGTTGTGTCGCTGTTCTCTGCGTCTGGCATCCAGCGCAATGCGATATTCAGTCACTCGGCTCACTATGGACTGCGAAGGAGGGCCATTGCCCGAAACGTCGCGTATTATATAGTTTTCCTTTTAGGGCCACGGTGTTTTTGAAGGATGTATTGAGTTGTTATGTTCGGGGGCTGGGAGGGAGAAGGGGTGGGGGCGGTGGGGGAGGGGGTCACCCGCTCCCCCTGAGCGGGTGACCCCCGCCCCTTGGAGCGCGCTTGTGGAACGCGGGCGGCAGCTGCTGCTGCTGCTGCTGATGATGCTGCTGATGATGATGGTGCTGATGATGATTTGGCTCGAGTTTAAACACGAAGGTGAATGTGGAAACAACTGCCATGGGTTCCAAGTGCGGGTGCAGGGGAGGATGAGACGCGGGGTAATGACAGCAAGTGGCGGGGGGGGGGGCGTGGAGGGGAGGGGTCGCCTCCCAGAGACAGCGGCTTTGAAGTCACCGCCTCTCCTCGCCGCCATCACCTCGCCGCCATCACCTCATCCAGCGCTATTATCTCCCCTTACTATCGTCACTTCGCATACTCACCACCATCACCTCCTCATCACCACCAACTCTCTTCACCACCATCACTTCCCCTCCTCACCACCGTCACCTTCCACGTTAACATCACCTCCAGCACCTCCTACAAATGCATCATCTGTTTCTCCTGCCATCCCAATACCTCTCTCACCCCACATCAAACCATTCATCAACCTGCCCCCCCCTCCACCATGCCCCCCCCCCCCCCGCTGTGTGTCTCGGCGTGCCGCTGTAATTGGCTCCCCCCGGGTCGCCCTCGAGTAATCTCTTCCAGGGTACTGCCCCGCGTCACGTGGCGTCTCCCCCTAATTAACGGGGGCCCTGCGCTAATTGCGCGAGGGTTCATGCTCTCCCTCGCACAGGCACGGGGCCCCGGGGCAAGGAGAGTGCTCGGGCCCCAGAGCGCGGGTTACCCGTCTCCGATCGCCTCCCCCCACCACCACCACCGCTCTTGCTGCGTGGGAGCAACTGCAAAATGAAACATCGCAGGACGGGCCAGACCCCGAATCACGGAGACACGCGGCGAGGCACCGGGGACACACTGAGACACGCAGGGGTGAGACACTGAGACACGCAGGGGTGAGACACTGAGACACTCAGGGGTGAGACACTGAGACACGCAGGGGTGAGACACTGAGACACGCAGGGGTGAGACACCGGGGAGACACGAGGACGCATGCCCGCGCCACGTTGTTCTTGTAGATAGCATCGGCTGCACGATTCTTCCAAACCTCTTGAGGTGTTAAGTCAGCGCTTATTTATAGAGGTATAAAACATTTGACAACTTTATTTCTGATGGGTTTTGCGGAGTCGCCGCACGAGTTGGCGAGCTCGCTATACTATTCGGTTTGCGCGGTCACAACGGATTCATTCTGAAGTCCACAGCCCAACACGGCCCAAGTCCACAACGTGCGGTGATCGTGAAAACAGCCGTCAACCCCCACGCCACCAAGGAGTCTCCTATCCGGAACGGCTGAGAGCTTCAAGTCGACCGGGGCCAGTGGCAGTGCGCACGCCGTGACCCAGACCGGCGCTTTGGGGCGAGCGTTGGTGGATCACGCACAGATGTGTGTTGCCACCCAAACCCGCTCGGCTGCGAGGTGGCCAGGAGATGGCAATGGCAGGACAGCAAATGGGTTCGTCAATCGTCTGTGTTGAGCTTTGGGCGCAGTCCAATCCCGTGAGCGGTGGGTGGAGGATCTTTTTTTTGTTAATTTGGAACGAAGACAAATGCTTCTTTCAAAAGGAATTGGCCAAACATCCCCGAGAGAGTCCTAAAGTTCTGGTTTTATCGGTTAAATTAAAGGACATGATTGTTTATGCTGTAATTATTGAGGAAGATGACGCATAAATACTGCACATCCGACTTAATACCCATGACCAAATCACCAGGGAACGCTCCCGATCTCGTCAGATGTCGAAAGCTAAGCGGAGTTGAGCCTGGATGGTGCTTGGATGGGCGACGACCGTGCACAACAAGTTGTTGTAGGTGACGGGCAACGTTGTGAGCAGCAGAGGGCAGTTTTGCAAACAACCATTGTGGTACGGTACTGCCCGCCAATGCACCCACTGCCGCGCCTCGCCAACTCGCAGCAACCAGCGCGAAGTACGGCAAAGTAGCTCCACGCCCAGCACGGCGTGGGGAGGGCAAGGGGAGGGCAAGGGGAGGGCCTCAGCCAGCAGTGGAACTGACACCAGGAGCTGTGCAAGGGGGGTTGCTTACAGCCATCGCGGTGGTGATAAGGTGATGTCGCACCGGGCATGTTGCGGCTGATTCATTATAATGCGGTGGTCTTAACAACGGTGGTTCAAGTTCAAGTTCATTTATTAGGTATAGCCCTGTAGCCATTCAGCTCTTGAATCGGGTGCAACCGCAACAACAACAAACAAAACATGAACAAAAACATCTTAAAGTGAATGTGACTAAGTGCAAACTTAGTCACATATGGCGACAGTGATGTTCGATTATGAGGATGTTGTTGATTGGTGACGGTGATTATGCTTGCTGCTGCTGCTGACTGATGTCTAATGACACGGTGATGGAGGATGTTGAACAATGATGTTCAATGTGGAAGGACGATCATGATATTTACTAACGATGCTGATGTATCATGTCAATAATGTTTGCGGTGCTGGATGGCGATGACCTTGCGGTGGCGCTGTAACACAATGAAATTGTACTCCCGACCAAATCACCCATCACAGATTTGCCCCCCCCCCCATATATGGAATTAAATTGGGCGTGGCATTAGCCGATGGGGGTGTCTTTGCACATAAAAGGTTTTATTTTGGTGTTTCTACCGTGCTGCTTCTACCACTGCCGGGCGACTCAAATACAGCAAGTTGGCACAGTAAGGGTCACAGCTGATGGTGCATCTACCGGTCATCTCAGTCAACCCATGGCACCTACTGGGTCTGTCCCGTGACCTGCACCTAGCTGGCACAGTCGGAGTCACAGCTGGTGGTGCATCTACCGGTCATCTCAGTCAACCCATGGCACCTGCTGGGTCTGTCCCGTGACCTCCTGCACCTAGCCTGGCACAGTAGGGGTCACAGCTGGTGGTGCATCTACCGGTCATCTCAGCCAACCCATGGCACCTGCTGGGTCTGTCTCATGACATGCACGTAGCCTGGCACAATAGGGGTCACAGCTGATGGTGCATCTACCGGTCATCTCAGTCAACCCATGGCACCTGCTGGGTCTGTCCCGAGACCTCCTGCACCTAGCCTGGCACAGTAGGGGGCACCGCTGGTGGTGCATCTACCAGTCATCTCAGTCAACC